ACTGTTCAGTCTACATGCAGTTCTGCTTGTCTATAATTTCACTTTGCAACATTTTCATATTTTACTCATGGCCATCCTCCCGTCCTGTCCCCTCCCCTCCCCTCCATCCCCAAGAACTGTTCAGTGCGTAATCATTATTAAGGAGCTCATCTTTCATTTGTGATATCAGGAGCCTATCCTCAGCAACTGATAGTGATATTGCAAACACAGGTCTATGCATTGTTTTCCACAAGGTATGAATGGGTTTTTTAAAGCAAAATTGCTATCCACTGTCAGTGGCTTGTTATTTAGTATTTTCACATTCTCTACCATGTTACCTACATAGTTTTCCTTTTCTTTCCTCCCAGCTTTTGGAAATGCCAAAACTGTAAAGAATGACAACTCTTCTAGATTTGTAAGTATAAGACATTATCATAAATATACTGATAAGAACAAAATTTTAGATGGAGATTAGTGTGTGGTGGGCTTTTGTATAGCTGCAGAAATGGTAGAGGGCATGTCTAGATCATCAAAATATACTTTCTTGGACTAATTAGGAGAAAAATCAGCTGCTCAGCCACTTAGCATAATTTCTAAGGTTGCCCATGTGATTGAGTAACATGGCACTGCCTAGATTTTCTTGGAACCATGCCAGGAATCAGATACCACATGGCCCAGTGGTTACTGAGCTATCAGGCTCCCTGATTACGTTCATCCAGGATGAAGGCTGTCTCTCAAGGCCAACTTCTGCTCAGTAGGTTTTGAGAGTTCATTTATTGCTTCTGCTCATGCTGCCCCTCCTTTGTCTGTGTTTAGGAACTGGACAGAGTGGAATGTGTTTATCTCGGGTCTTGCAGGCATGGAACAAAGTTGAACATGTGTTGGAATACTATGGAAAGTACTTGGGATAAGGAATGATTTTTCTTTTTAATGCAAAAATCTTACAACGCATAACTGGAGCTTATTCTTTCCTTGAGTAATCCCAAAGTGCATTAATACTTGGTGTGTGCCCTGCTCCACACCTCTGAACAGTCTCCCAACCAGGAATAATTCTGTTCATGTTATTATCCCAAAACAATTGTTTTCCTCTTATATTTTGGGACTGGACTCGAGGATCTTCCAGCTCTAATGTCTGTAAAAATCTATGAAATCTCCTTATGTCCCTGAAGTTGATGTTTGGCAGTCTCAACCATAATCAGTTTTTTTCCTAGCCATTGAAGAATCACAAAGCTTATTAAACTGAAGTGCCCAGTTGCTCCCTTTGTTATTTAAGGCCCATTACCATAAATGTTTCTGTCTTAAAAGCTGTGCTTTACTACTAGTAAATTTGAAATGCTTGCCCTGAAAGAAAGAACTTAATTTCTATGAACTTATAAAAATGACAAACCAGCTTTAAGAAGATATTGCATGATTTTCCTTTGGTAAATCCTAAAATTCCTACAATATATTGTTTTTACAGGGAAAATACATGGATATTGAATTTGATTTCAAAGGTGATCCGCTTGGAGGAGTTATAAGTAACTGTGAGTATTGCATTTGGTACTAACCTAAAATGTTTCAAAGGCCTTGTTCAAAGCTTAGAGAAAAACAGAAAGAGAAATTAGTGAGATAAAGTATTCAAATTTCAATTAAAGGTAACCAGTTATGTGGTAGTGACCAGAAAGTACTACTAATGTTACTTATTTTTCCTTTGGTTGGATATGGAATAGTGTATAAATAAACTGAAAATCTGTTTGAAGTAGTGGAATATGGTGTATTGTTTAAAGGACCATAGGCAAGGCTCATTTGTTGACATTTCGGATATCATTTTTTTTCAGTCTACCAAACATTGAGAAGTTCTAAACAAGAAAAAAAGGAGAAAAAATAAAAAGTCCTTTGTTTGTGCTGACAATGATAAGCCACTGCACAAAAGTACCATAAGTAAGATAGGAAAACGTTGTGAGGTGGTCATTAATTTAATTAAACTGAAAGAAACTGTAAAAACTTTAGCACAGGTTGGGACACAAAAAAAAAAAGCTTGCTCTTGGGGAAAGGTTAGATGAACACCTTGCTGGGGTCGTTTGACCCCACTACTCTTTCCTGCCATGGCAGGGGGTCGGACTAGATGATCTTCTCAGGTCCCTTCCGACCCTAGAAACTGTGAAACTATGAAATACAGAAACAATTAATTTCTGAGGCAGAGATCAGCTTATGATTTGTGAGGCTTCCACAGTATCTACAGATTCCCTTCACTTGTTTTTTGAAAGGGAGAATTTCACTAAACAGTTACTTTCCTTGCTGGTATTTGAATTCAATCTTTTAAATGTTTTTTTCCTGGGGGTACTTTGTAAGCTTTCAAAGCTTTTTAAAAAGGGCCGGGATGGTATAATGGTGTGGAGCAGAGGTGCAACAAAGGAGGGTGTGTAGTATATTGCCACTTATTTTACTTGGAGCTGTTAGGATTGCTAAATCTTGTCCTTGATTATATGCAGAACTGCCTGGACACCCAACCATGGATCTTTGCTCTTGCATTTTAATTGAGGATGTCAGGGTGTTGAATCTTTGATAAACGTCTATTCTTTCAGAGTCACCCAAGGGCTGACCTTCAAACATTTAACTCTGTCTACATTGAGGGAAGGGTGTGATTGAATAGAAAAATTACCATTGATTTTTAAAGAGGTCTGTCCTGTAATGCTTTATGTGCTGTGTACAGGAATAAAGCCTTCAAGGAAAATTAGCATGTAATAATAAAATGAAAATGATTATAACACCTACTTAGCTAGTAGTCGGATCTGACTTGTTTCCAACCTGAAGGTAGTTTTCTATTTGATAATTATACATACGTATATAGTCATTACATAGCTGTATGTAATGACTGAATACACAACCTTTTAATGCATGTGGCAAGTTATTAAAATAATATATTTAAAAATAAAAGCAGGAGAACTTATTTGTTATAGATAGGATATAGCAGATCTTGGGGCGTGTGATAAAATATACTGTAATCAACCACTTCTCCCTTAGACTACAGAAAAATAATTTTCATAGATTTCATAGACAGGTCTGGAAGGGACTTTGCAAGTTCATCAGGTCCAGCCCCCTGCCCAAGGGGCAGGAAGTCAGCAGGAGTCAAATGATCCTAGCAAGATAAGAATCCAAGTGTTGTTTTTGAAAGTATCTGGGGTATGTGCTTATGCCACCTCTGGGGGAAGTCTATTCCAGGCCCTGGGGACTCGGACAGTAAAGAAGTTCTTTCCTTATGTCCAGCCTAAAATGGTCTTCCAGGAGTTTGTGAGCATTGGTCCTTGTCTTCCCATGGGGTGCCCTGGTGAACAGACTTTCCCCCAATTCCTGATGCACACCCCTTATATACTTACAGCTGCCACCAAGTCACACCTGAGCCTATGCTTTTCCAGGCTGAAGAGTCCCATGTCTCTTATCCTGTCCTCATAAGGCCTGCTCTCTTGTCCTCTAATCATGCATGTGGCTTTCTGGACTCTCTCACAATTCTCCACGTCATTTCTGAATTGTGGAGCCCGGAACTAGACACCGTATTCCAGCTGTGGTCTCATCAAGGCTGAGTACAGTGGGAAGATGACATCCTGGGTCTTGCTTGAGATGCATCGGTAGATGCAAGCCAGCATTTTGTTTGCTTTGCTGGCTGCAGCATTGCATTGGTGGCTCATGTTCATCTTGTGGTCAATTATGACCCCCAAGTTTCTTTTGGTTGTGGTGCTAGTGAGTGTAGCACTGTCAAACCTATAAGTGTGGTGTAGGTTTTTCCTCTTGAGGTGGAACATCTTGCATTTCTCAGTGTTGAATGCCATCAGGTTTTGACCCGCCCACCTTGTAGGCCTGTCAAGGTCAGCCTGGATTGCCAGCCTATCCTCTAGGGTGACTGCACTTCCCCATAGCTTGGTGTCATCATGGAACTTAGCTAGTCTGCTTCTGACACCAGAGTCCAGATTGTTTATAAACTCATTGAAGAGTACAGGTCTGAGAATGGAGCCCTGGGGGACACCACTGGTCACCATGTGCCATGTTGATTTGGTTCCATCAACTGTCACTCTCTGGGTCCATCCATGGAGCCAGTTCCCCAGCCATTGGACCATTAAATTGTTGAGGCCGCAATTCCCCAATTTTTCCATGAGGACATCATGGGACACCAGGTCAAAGGTTTTCTTAAAGTCCAAAGAAAGAAATTGTATGCTATTTTATGTTTTTGATCATAAGTTAAAATTAGTTGAACCAGGTGAATTATCAGAAAGATAAAGAGCCCATAATTAGTGGTAGTGTTTCTCACAGTTGGTGCTCAATTAGAGCTCCAAACAGTTGTTATGATGCAAGGGAGATGCTGAAATTTCTTATCTTGTGGATAAGTAATAAAGCTTGTGTATGTTTTTAATAACTTTTGGGCCAGGTAGAGACATTTCAAATAAACCGGTATAAACAATTGATTTATGTAATTGGTTTACATTCTAAACCTATAACAGAACAGAAGTTTGGTGCACAAAATCAATCTAAACCTTTAACAGTACAGGCAGTCCTCAGACTTATTACACAATCGGTTCCTGAACGCTGCATCTTAAATTGAAACGTCATGACTTGGAACCAATTTTCCCATAGGAACAGTGTTATAAATAGGGGATTGGTTCCTTTACAACGGCCAATACTGCGTGCAGCTGGGAAGTGGTGGAAGGGGCATGGGGGGCTGGGACTGGGGCTCGGTGGGCATGGGGAGGGAGGGGTGTTGTGGCTGTGATGTCCCCGCGTGGTCCCAGTGCTGTTGG